AACCGGTTAAAAAAATTAAAATTAATAAAAGTAAAATAAAATAAAAATCACGACGTTTCGGAGGCAACACAAGCTTCCGTCTTCAGGTGGAACCGTCACAGCACGATTGCTGTATCAAGTACAGCTATCGTGTATCAAGTACAGCAATCGTGCTGTGACGGTTCCACCTGAAGACGGAAGCTTGTGTTGCCTCCGAAACGTCGTGATTTTTATTTAATTTTTATTTTACTTTTATTAATTACATTATTTTACCTACGTGACTTTACCGAAAAAACCTACGAATATGAATCCTTGCAGTCACGAAAGCTTCAAATCTAGAATTACGACCAGCTTCATCAGGCGGCCGCCACATTGCGTCGTCACACCCAGGCGGCTTTAACGACACATTCATTTACGCAATCCAACCCCAAAAAAGAACCTGCATTACAGGTGACATTGATCGCGAAAGCCCCCTACGTGTTACACCAAACCCGATGCAGTTATTAACATCGACTGAGAAACAAAGGGGCACAAGGCGTGCGCTAAAGGTTAAGAACCACTGGTCTAGACCTAACCCCCCCCCCCGCCCCCCTTTGCCTTCCCGTCCCACCCCCCCACCCCCCCCAAGGCCCGTTCCGCCCACGCCACAGGAACCCCGAGCGGCGGAGGCGGCGGGCTTAACGATCGGCTTTTGGCGACGAGGGCAAGCCAGCAGCTTAACAAGGCGCAGTCGTGGTCGTCGCAGCAGAGATTTCGCGAGCAACGTTGCCCGTGGCAGGGGGATCGGTCGCATCGATGTGAATGCCGTGCCGTTATTAGTACGGGGGGGAAGGGGGGGTTTGCGTAGCGTAAACGAAACGTGGCTAGCACAGCAAGCACACACCGGCTGGAGGGTAAACCCAGGAGAATTTCTCCACAACGCGATGATGATGATGCCAAGTTGTAATTGCCGGCGGAACGCCACGGCTACTCGAATTGCAAACGCGGTGGTGGTGGTGGGGGTGGTGGCGGTTTAACTCTCGGACACACGACGACCCGGTGCGGCGCTGCTCTGAACAAACGAATCGGCCACGTGTTGTTTACGCGACAGGTGGCCGTGTAGGTTGGCTGCAGGTTGAACGACGCACGTTCGTTATTTACGCGCTCCGACTCCAAACACCTCCATTGTCAACGGCAAGACGGTCTCGGTCAAACCGATGGCAACCCCCCCCATCACACCCCCCCCACCACCCCCACACCCCCGAGAGGCGACGGCGTCGCACGCATCACGGCACCACTCGCCGCGGCGCGCACACGTCAACCCTCGTCATCGTCGCACCGTCACCTCGGCGTTTCACACTCTCGCCTCGCAGGTGACGATGATGGTGATGATGATGGTGACGATGGTGGTGATGATAATGGCGATTGATAATGACGATGGTGGTGATGATGGTGATGATAATGATGATGATGGTGATAATGACGGTGGTGATGATGATGGTGATGATGATGGTGATGATGATGGTAATGACGGTGATAATGATGGTGATGACGGTGGTGATGATGATGGTGATGATAATGATGGTGATGATGGTGATGATGATGGTGATGATGATAATGATGGTGATGATGATGGTGATGATGATGATAATGATGGTGATAATGATAGTGATGATGATGGTTATGATGATAATGATGGTGGTGATGATGGTGATAATGATGGTGATGATGGTGATAATAATGGTGATGATGATGATGATAATGATGATGATGATGGTTATGATGATGTACCCGCCTCACTACAGCCTTACGGGGGAGGCGAAGGCCGGCACGGCGCACATCAGGGTGACGAGGGGGGGCGGGGGGGGGGGGTGGTGACAGGGGCGGGCACAGCGGACGGTCGCGGTTGAAGCAGCGGGGGGGGGGGGCAAAGACGAAGACCGCGAGTAGAAATAACAAAAAATAAACCGGAATCGATGCTTTCGCGTGCACGCGGGCGGTCCCTCCGAAGCCCCCCCCCCAACCCCCCCCCACCCCCCACAACCCCCCCCCACCCCCGCGTGACCGTGCAGCAGCGCCGCCCGCAGAAACTATCCAAAGGTGAAGAAGTTGCGAACTCCGCTCGCTCAAATCACCACGCTCGACCACCCTCTCGCCCGCCCGCTCGCCCGGCCGCTGCCGCCGTGAAACGAAACAGGGAACTCGCCCCAATTACCGCGCACGCCTTCGCCCGCAAACACAAAAAACAACCCGCTCGGTTCCAACGACTGCAGCTTGCTGGGGAAGCGAGCGCAGCCGGCGGGGTTGACGCTTCATTAGGGGGAGGACGAGGGACGACGCACGGAGCCGGGTCGGCGCGACCTGCCCGAGCAAAAAACAGACGCATCGAGCAGTCCGAAAACCCAGCGCGCCGTGACGGAGGTGACGGTTTTGCCAATTTTTTTAGTTTTTTTTTTTTTTTACGGCTTGCCGACCACGGAACGAGAGTGGGCAAAACTATTTTGTTGAATTTGGCGGGACTGGGAAAAAGTCGCGTAACAAAGAAGAGAAGAGGTGAGCCCCGTTATTTGCAGAACGGCGGGCGTCGCTGACGAGGAGGATGCCGACGCGTCGGTGGTCCCAGCGACTAACGAGCGCAACGTGGAAGGGAGCCGGAGAACAGCGGAGAAAACCCACCGGGGGCACACACACGCACACACGCATGCGCACACACACATACACACGCGTGCACACACACACACATACACACACACAAACATACACACACAAAGATGCGTGCACACACACACGCGCACACACACAAACACACACACAAACATACACACACACGCGTGCGCACACACACGCAAACACACACATACACACACACACACAAACATGCGTGCACACACACACAAACATACACACACAAACATACACACACGCGCACATACGCGTGCACGTGCACACACGCGTGCGCACACACACGCACACACAAACACACACACACCCGTGCACACACACACACACGCGTGCACACACACGCGCACACACACACGCGTGCACACACACACGCACACACAAACACACCCGTGCACACACACACACGCGCGCACACACGCGCACACACAAACATACACACACACCCGTGCACACACACACACGCACACACGCGTGCACACACACGCGCACACACAAACATACACACACACCCGTGCACACACACACGCACACACGCACGCACACACGCGCACACACAAACATACACACACACCCGTGCACACACACACACGCACACAAACACACACACACACCCGTGCACACACACACACGCGTGCACACACACACACGCTCAAACACGCGCACGCACGTACCACCCCAACAGATCCACACAGACAGATTCAAGGATCTCTACGTCGTGCCGTCTTCCAGCGGCGAGATCGCATCCCAAGTCTACAACAGCGAGGGGGGGAGGGTGGGGGTGGAATTCAATCAATTCCGAGGCTGATCAGGGCAACCGGGAGTCGGGGAAGGCGATCTGTCTGTTGGCCCGGCGGCCACGCGCATCGCGGGAGCGTCCCCGGTCGGGCCCCGTCGGCGGGGCAGCCGGAGGGGAGGGCCGGCCGTGTGCCGCTCCGGTCCCACCGCAGCCACCGCCGCGGTGAGCCTCATTGAGCCGGCGAGGGGCGGGGCACGCGCGCGGATGGGGATCACGGTTCGCACGCACACGTACACAAACATCCCCCTCCACCACGTGTAGCCTTAACAGACCGTTGGGGCAAGTGCTGTTAGTGAGCATCACCTACGAAGGCCGGCACTGTGGCACACGAGGGCGTGGGTGGACACAGAGCACCAGGAGCTCATTTAAGGTGTTGGCCGTGAGCGGGAGTCGAACTCTGCTCGCCGGTTCGCAGAGCATTACCCCCACACACAACAAAGAAAACAAAAGATCCACCGCATAGCCTCAACAGACTGTTGGGGCAAGTGCTGTTAGCGAGCACCTGTGAAGGCCAGAACGGCACACCACGCTCAGCCACCTTTGTCTCCCCCGGTGGCGATGTTTACCCACCACACCGGGTACTCATTTCAGGCTGAGTCGACCCAGGACCGGCTCAGATAATCGTCATCGGTGTCGGCCGTGAGCGGGGAATCGAACTGGGGTCGCCGGGTTCGCGGCGCAGCGTAGCGCTAACCGCCGCACCTCAGCAGCAACACACACGCACGGCGCAAACACACGCACGGTGGTTAAAAAAAATGTTTTGTCTCCCCGACAGACCTGGTCTTCACCTGAGGACGGCTGCTTGCGTTGTGGCCGAAACGTCGTGAGAATTGTATTTTATTATGTTTTTTTTGATTACTTTATTATTTCCATTCTACGTGACTTTACCGAAAGAACCAAGAAGACACGCACGGCGCTTCTGCGGAAGAGGCAGCGTAGGCGCGACCGCGAGAATAACACCCACCACGGTAAGAACCACGTGGGGGGGGAGCGTGGGAGCAAGCCATGGGTGGGCGGAATTAATGCAGCGGGAAGGTCACATCCACCACAGAGAGTTCAAAAGCGCGGGGCTTGCAACCCGCCACGCGGCGGCGGTTACTGTCGGTGCCAGAGCCGGGCGGGAAGGCCCCAAGGAAAGCCGCCACCCCCCCCCCTCCCCACCACCACCGGCAGTGCGAGATGACGGCGGGGGGGGGGGGGGTCACTCGGAAAAGGATGTTGGAAGTCTCCTTCTGCGGGCCACTCACAAACACGGAGTTGGGGGAGGTTGCGTGCTGCGAGAGCTCCGAACGGACGAGGTCTCCACGCGAAACCCGACGGCACAAAAGCGTCAAACTGTGCGCATACGCGCGCACAAAGATCCCCCGTGTAGCCTGTAACAGACTGTTGGGGCAAGTGCTGTTAGCGAGCAGCACCGATGAAGGCCGGCACGTCACACGAGGGGGTGGGTGGCCAGCACCCCGCCCGGCCGCCTTTGTCTCCCCATTGGCAATGTTTACACATTGCACCAGGTACACACGCACACACACACACACACGTGCACACACGTACGCACGCGGCTTACCGCTCCGTGTGCTGGCGGTCCGTGTCGTGCAGTCGAGCGAGCCGCCCGGCGTGCTGCAGGCACTCGCGCAGGCCCCCCGCCTCCTGCTCGTGCTGCATGCCGCTCACGCCCAGAGCCAGCAACTGCACGCCGCGTGGGACACGTTCAAGAATTATTGTTGTTGTTGTTGTTCGCCGTCGAGCGGGAATCGAACTCGGGTCGCCGCCGGATTCCCGCGACGCCGCTCCAAAGACAAAGACCCCGCCGAGGCCGACGTGGCCAGCACCGCACAACACCATCATCATCATCATCACCATCATCACCATCACCACCACCATCATCACCATCTTCACCACCATCACCACCATCATCATCACCATCATCATCACCATCATCATCACCATCATCATCACCATCATCATCACCATCATCACCACCATCATCACCTTCACCACCACCATCATCATCACCACCACCATCATCACCACCACCATCATCATCACCACCATCATCATCATCATCACCACCACCATCATCATCATCACCACCACCATCATCACCATCACCATCATCACCATCACCACCACCATCATCATCATCACCACCACCATCATCACCATCATCATCACCACCACCATCATCACCATCACCATCATCCCGGCGGCAAACCGGGTACTCGTTTTGAGGACGGGGCCCCCCGTTGCCGAATCGAGCGACGGGGGCAGCGCGGCGAGCCGACGGCCCAAGTGAAGCCGCCGCCCCCCCACCCCCCCCCCCGTGGTGCGTCTCTCCCACCTGCGAGAGGGCGACGTCGTGCCCGTCCGAGGGCAGCACGGCCTCCGCGACCCGCGCCCTGAGCCGCTCCGTGTTGTCCTTGAGCCGCGTCTCCACGGCGCGCCGCCGCTCCTCCATGTGCTCCCGCCGTGCGCGAGCCGCCGCCGTGCACCGCTCCAGCCGGCCCGTCGCCTGCGGGCACGCGACGACGCCAACAACGACAGGTCAAAACCCCGAGGGGGCGGCCCTTTAACGGGACGGCGGGCGCCCACCAAGGCCGGCACGCGGTGGCACACGGTGGCACACGGTGGCACACGGTGGCACGCGGTGAGCGGCACGCCGACCCACTGCTCGCTCGCACCGCCGTTTTGAAAGACGTCGGGCCGCTCGTCTGCGGAGGTTCGCAGGTTTCCGGGACCCCCCACGGCGGCCCGCCCTGGCAAAACACCGCCGGCGCGGTGGCCGCCCGCGTCGCGGCGAACGTGAAAGGCCTCTCCCCCCGGCGAGGCCGCTGGAACGGGAGCGTGCGTCGGCGCGCGCCGGCAGTGCACGGAACCCAACGAGCGAAATCGCCCGCGGGCCGCCCGGCTGGGGGGGAAGCGATCGACCGTCGGCCCCCGCCCCGCCAACTACGAGACCGCTTGCAGGCTCTGCCCCGCCGTGCCGTCAACGTCTGGGGGCACCTCGCGACAACGAAGCCGACAGCAGTTGCCAATCGCCAAAGCCAGGGGTCGGGGGTCACCCACAATAACAAGAAGAGGCTTTAACTCGAAAACCAGTGGTTCTTAACACCTCAGAAGGGGGGCATCTCGCATACCCCCAGGTTAAGAACCACTGCGCTAAACGCTTTGTTCTGAATTGTGGGAGGGGAAAACCGGAGGACCCGGGGAAAAATCCACGCAAGCACGGGGAGAGACACATGCAAACTCGCTCCGTCTCTCTCCTCACCCTCTCTCCGTCTCTCTCCTCACTCTACGTGTATCTATCCTCAGTCTCTCTCCCTGTGTCTCTCCCTATTGCTCTCCTTTCTGTCCGTCTGTCTGTATCGATGTCCATCTGTAACTCTTTGCCTCCGTATCTGTCTCTCATCGATGTCTCTCCGCATCAATCTCCGCGTTCTATCGGTCTCCCTATCTTCTCGGCCCTCAAAAGTTCACCCACTACCCAATGGTATCCTGTTCCAATGTTTTCGAGTGGCATTTGTTCTCTCCGTGCAGAGCCCTGGGCGGTTTTCGAATCAGCTCAACAAAGAATGGACCGTGGGGGGCTGATGGCCCTAAATGCAATTTTAGTAATCGAAATTGTGTCGTCAAGCACCTCCACCAGCCGACGGAGCAAGACGAATCGACTGGCCACCTGGTGTACGCGCGTTGAACGCGCCAATTATTATTTGTCAAGGCTCGCACGCCTGCACTATTTCTAGTTTTATTTGACCAGCCAAGGCACCCACTGAGCTACGCAGCTCTTTTTCAGAGGCGACCTGGCCACAAGTGACAGCTCAACAAAAGCAATGTGGAGGGAAAAAAACTTCCACATGACCCGGAGAAAAATCCACCCGACCACGGGGAGAGAAAGAGAGAGAGACACGCCAGAGGTCGCAAACGGGTTTTGATTCCTTACCCGTACCCGCCCGCACCAGGGTCGCAAACGGATACCCGTACCCGTACCCTACCCGATACCCGGCTACCCGTACCCGGCTGGGTACGGGTAGGGTACGGGTATCGGGTACCCGATTGCGACCTCTGGGATGAAGCCATGTTGCAGGCGCGGGTGGGTTGATTCTAGGAACTTGAATTGTGAGAAGAGACAAGACGTTGGGAAATGAGTGACAAACGGTGACTCACCAGTGACTCACGGCCTACCCGTACCCGGCCGCACCAGGGTCGCAAACGGGTACCTGTACCCGGCCGGGTACGGGTAGCCGGGTATCGGGTAGGGTACGGGTATCGGGTACCCGGTTGCGACCTCTGAAACACGCAGCCTCCAAATGTATAGCAGCAGGCGAGGTGGTTAACATCTCCCCGGCCGAGGGAACTCTCTACGCAAGCGCTTCTGCTTGGAGAGAGTCCAGCGGGGCGAGAGCGGAGGAAATTGCAGGGCAGCACCTGCACGCCTCCCCCCTGCGCCACGCAGCGGGGAGGAGGCGTCATCATTTTGCGCGTTACAACGTCGTTATTACGGCCGAACATATTAGCAGATCCGCTGGCAAGCGCCACAAGCCGCGGAGGGAGCATGCGCCGGTGCCCGGGCGAGTACACGGTCCACGACCCCCACCCCCCCAGCGTGTCACCTGGGGGGGGGGGGGGGGGGTGTGGGGGGCACTGTGTTTAGGCAACAAGATCGTCTCTGCTCCCTCCCCTCCCCCCCCCCCCCCGGACGCGGTTTCTCCCGGTGACTCTCCCCCTCGCTCGGCCAACGGCAAAACAAAAAAATTAACCCGTAAAAACAAAGTTTTTGACTATAAATCCTTTATACGCGTGGCATCGGTTTTATTTTATTATTCATTTCTGTTTTTCTTGAGTAAGAGTTTCATTTTCATCACATTGGTATTTTAAATTAAATATGAAATTCTTTTTTTCCTAAAAAGTGGAAAATTTTGGAGAAAAAATTTTTCACGAAAAGAAATTGTCTCGCACAACGAGTCTGTGTGCAAAATGTCAGCTCGATTGGATCACGGGAAGTGGGTTAAAAAACGACCGAAAGATTTGCACGGTCGTAAGCGCGCAAGCAAGCAAGCAAGCGAACTTAATATAAAGGATTTAAAAACAAGCGTCTCCTTAACGAGCGAGGAATTGGACGAAACGTCCCCGGCGCTAGCAGCAGCAGCTTCCTCATCAAGACTTTAGAGACCGGGCGCCGCTCTTCCGGGATTGACAGGAGGTAAAAGAGGGGATTGGTGGTGGAGGTGGGGGCAAAAGGCCTTGCGCTATTTGCACGCTCACTCGTTCGCATCACTGCTCGCGAAAGCGGCCTCCCCGCGCTGGAGCGCTCGCTCGGCCGCCCGCATCCCCTCTGGATCGTAGTTGGCCTACTCTTCCACGCTGGTCAGTTGGCTTGGACAACGTGCGTTCACCCACATTTTGTTTTAACCCCTACCCCCCCCGCACCTCCGATTATCACGGATGGCTACGTGCGGCAGTGCGAAAGAAGTTCAACGAAGTTTAGTTTAAATTTCGATGTAAAGCTTTCGTGACTGCAGGGATTCATCTTCTTGGTTCTTTCGGTAAAGTCACGTAGAATGGAAGTAATAAAATAATAAAAATAAAACATAATAAAATACAATTCTCACGACGTTTCGGCCACAACGCAAGCGGCCGTCCTTCAGGTGAAGAACAGGTCTGTCGAGAAGACAGCATCTGAAATACAGACCTGTTCTTCACCTGAGGACGGCTGCTTGCGTTGTGGCTGAAACGTCGTGAGAATTGTATTTTATTATGTTTTATTTTTGTTATTTTATTATTTCCCTTCTACGTGACTTCTCCCGCACCTCCGATTATCACGGTTGGCTACGTGCGGCGGCGCGAAAAAAGTTCCAACACGTACGTACATACGCACAACCCACCGCCACCCGACATGCTGATCGTCTAACCGATGGATTGCACGGTGGGGGGGTGCGGTAACGGTAGCGGTAGCGAGTGGCCCCCTCAAGGAGGTGGGGAGAGGTGGGGGGGGCCTTGCGAGTGGCCTCCTCAAGGAGGTGTGTTGGGAGGGGGGGGGGCCTTGCGAGCGTGCCGACCGCTGCAGCAACAGCAGCAGCAGCGTCGTCCCGGTGAGAATGGGGAGAGAGGGGGGTGTTAAACAAATGGCATCGTTGTTAATTTGAGGGTTAGCGTCTTGAGTGAGCGTGGGTTGGTGGGTGGGGTGGGGGGGGGGGCGGCCGCACGCTCCAGCCCATCTGGCCGGCACCGGCAGAACACGTCCCGCGAGCAGCGGCGCTGGCCGCCCGTGGCTACCAAGCCGATGCCGTTATTTACGTCCAATATAGATTTTTTAATTAGGGAGCTGTTCTACCCGGAGGGGGGGGGGGCAGCGAGCGGTGCGAGGAGAGCCGGCGCTGCCGATGGGGCCGGAGATCCGTGACGGATCGCTGCAATAACCGCGGCGTGGAGGGGAAGGGGGGGGGCGCAGAGATCCTGGCACCGGCGTTAATTTCCTTAACGAGAATGGCGTCGGACAAATTCGTCAACCGAGCCGGCTTGCTTTTTTTATTTTCATTTATTTATTTATTCTCTCCCTCCCTCTCTCCCTCTCCAACCGAGCCGTCGGGCGGTGGGGTACGGCCCGGCGGGTTTTGTTTTATTATTATTTAATATTATTATTTTACATCATCATCATCAGCATCATCAGCATCACCATTATTACTTTCATTCATGCGCTTGAGCGAGAAGCGGCAAAAGTGCGCGCTACTTGCAGGGCGGCTGGCGGTGTGGGGAGGGTGGGGGGCCTTGCGAGTGGCCCCCTCAAGGAGGTGTGGAGAGGGGGGCCTTGCGAGTGGCCCCCTCAAGGAGGTGTGTTGGGAGGGGGGGCTTGCGAGTGGCCCCCTCAAGGAGGTGTGTTGGGAGGGGGGCCTTGCGAGTGGCCCCCTCAAGGAGGTGTGTTGGGAGGGGGGGCTTGCGAGTGGCCCCCTCAAGGAGGTGTGGGGAGGGGGGCCTTGCGAGTGGCCCCCTCAAGGAGGTGTGTTGGGAGAGGGGGCTTGCGAGTGGCCCCCTCAAGGAGGTGTGTTGGGAGGGGGGGCCTTGCGAGTGGCCCCCTCAAGGAGGTGTGTTGGGAGGGGGGGCTTGCGAGTGGCCCCCTCAAGGAGGTGTGGGGAGGGGGGCCTTGCGAGTGGCCCCCTCAAGGAGGTGTGTTGGGAGGGGGGCCTTGCGAGTGGCCCCCTCAAGGAGGTGTGTTGGGAGGGGGGCCTTGCGAGTGGCCCCCTCAAGGAGGTGTGTTGGGAGGGGGGGCTTGCGAGTGGCCCCCTCAAGGAGGTGTGGGGAGGGGGGCCTTGCGAGTGGCCCCCTCAAGGTGTGGAGAGAGGGGGGGGGCCTTGCGAGTGGCTCCCTCAAGGAGGTGTGGGGAGGGGGGGGGCCTTGCGAGTGGCCCCCTCAAGGAGGTGTGGAGAGGGGGGGGCCTTGCGAGTGGCCCCCTCAAGGAGGTGTGGGGAGGGGGGGGGGCTTGCGAGTGGCCCCCTCAAGGAGGTGTGGAGAGGGGGG